AAATAAATAAAACTTTAAAAAAAAAAAAAAAGATGAAGAGTCGGCATTTACAGGGTTATTATTGAGAAAGCACATAAAAATGGAACTTGAAAATGCCTAGCCATTTCATTCACTTAACACCAAGAATCTAAGAGGCTCCTCTTTGTTCTGTTAGACAAATTCTGATGTAGGGGCAAGGGACAGTATTTGTGTCCTAGGAAGCCTTCAGACTAATGTAGGCGAATGAGAGCGAAGTGCGTTGTCTCAGACATACTCAAAGGAAGAGCACTATAATTTCAGAAATAGTAGGAAAGTATAGGTGTTGCCTTGTCTGGAAGGCTTCCTGTTATGAACTGCCCGGTTTTGCCCTATGTGTGGGTTACTGGTTTGCTTTCTTGCAGACAACTGTGAAGTCAGCGTGTTGAGTGAGAGGTGAAATGAAAACAAGGCTAGGGAGGTTAGGGTGCCCTGTACATCAGTCCTTGTTTGTTTGAACAAGCACACATTCTTGGCCTGCTGTGTCTCTTCGCGCAGGACTTGAGATCATAACCTATCCTTTCCTTTCTACGAATCAGAACTGGCAATTATTGTTCCAGTTGTTGGCAAGTTTCTCGTCCATTTGCTTTGGGCTCGGCTTCGTTTTTTTCCTCCCGAGAAGTTTAACTTACCAAGAGCGCCCCCTGGTGTTCGGTAAACAAGAGGGTAAATCTTTTGGCAAGTTGGGCTCCAGTAGGGAAGGGAGCCAACAGCCGCTTGTTTCTGTATTACAGTGCACAACATTGTAATTAATAATTAATAATGATCTGGCTCCAGATTCACCCAAGACCAGTCTTTTCATTTCAAAAGATATGTGATGATGAGTATGTATCCTATAACCTTCTGGTGGAATGTTAGAAAAAACAAGAAACCCCAGCGCTAAATCTCCACATGGCGTCCTTTTAACTCCCAAGGCAATTTAATCTGTAATAATAATTGTCATATTAGAGTTTCACTTCAGTGGTGCATATGCTTCTAGTCAACAACTACAACAAATTGCTAAAAAAGCGAGACACAGGGTAACAGGAAACCAGTGGCCCTCAGTAAGAATGAACAAACTACGAAGAGCTCACCTTTGTTATGAGCAGCCTGATGAGAGGTCCTGCATGTACCCAGGTGCAGGATCCCAGGGAGGCACTAAATTTGCATGAAGATACAGTTAGCTGTTTCACTTTGACAGTGAAATTTACTTAAAAATCCTGTAAGCTTTGCGGGGTGCCTGGATGGCCCAGTGTGACACTTGGTTTCCGCTCAGGTCATAATCTCAGGGTCGTGCCCTGTGTCTGGCTCCGCGCTCAGCACAGTCTGCTTGAGATTCTCTCTCCCTCTGCCCATCCCACTCGTGCTCTCTTGCTCTCTCAAATAAATAAATCTTTAAAAACAAAATCCGGTAGCACTGGCTGTTAACATGCAACTAATGAATCGTTGGAACACTACATCAAAAACTAATGATGGACTGTATGTTGGCTAACTGAACATAATAATAAAAAATAAATCCTGTAGGGGCCCCTGGGTGGCTCAGTCGGCTCAGCGTCTGCCTTCGGCTCAGGTCATGATCACAGGGTCCTGGGATCGAGCCCCGCATCCAGCTCCCTGCTCAGCGGGGAGCCTGCTTCTCCCTCTCCCTGTCTGCCACTCCCCCTGCTTGTGCTCACTCACTGTCAAGTAAATAAAATGTTTTAAAAAAAAAATCCTGTAAGCTTTGAAAAAAACAAGCTCAGTGCTTTAGGACATGGGACAATATGAGTGTTTTGTTGTATTTTCCACTTTAGATACACATTTATGTAGTCTAAAAAGCAAGACAGAACTTTCCAAATTTAAAATTAGGTGATAGTGGATAGCCCTGACTTGAGTTTTTATAAAGTTTACTACCCTTCTCCCCCACCCCATCTCTCCAGAATGAAGGGTGATAGGATTTAAAGGTTGACCCAGATACACCAGCTGTTACTAGGGCAGGGCGTGGACTTTAATGGTAAAAAACTAAACCAACAAAACAGAAAACAATTTCTCTGATGTAAGTGACTCAGAGTTGGGGGTAGCAGAATTCTTTTGGTGCAAGTTTTCTCAAAAGCTTTAACATGAAGTGAAGGCTATATAATTCCAAATTTAAAATTAACTTCCCTTTTCTTGCCTCCTAACATGTCATCATCCCTTAAAACTGACCAACTCAAGGGGCGCCCGGGTGGTTCATTCGGTTAAGCGACTGACTTGATTTCCAGCTTGGGTCATGATCTCAGGGTTGTGAGAGGTCATGTTCTCAGCGCAGAGCCTGCTGAAGATTCTCTCCCTTTCTCTGCCCCTCCCCCGCCAAAGAAACAACTGACCAACTCTTCATTTTACCACCTAGCTCTTTCTCAACCCACCCTCTCTCCAGCCCTGCCACTGCCCTTCTTCCTCCCATTAATGTTGCCCCCAGAGAATCCATCAAAACACTTCTCAAATGTTCTTGACTGGCTTACAAACCTTTCAAACCCCTCTCCCCACCCGCCCCTCCCCTCCAGAGCACCGCCTCCACCTGAATCAACAGGTGTGTCACCAGGGACCACACAAACCAAACATAAAGTGGACATAACACCACCCTCAAAATTCCACCTAGCTAGATCTGTCTGCAGTCCTTCTGCCATTTTACCCCTCACATCTTACCCTCTGTTCATTTGGAATGGCTTAGTTCCCCCAGTAGAATGTGCTGGTCTAGCTCCAACACCTTTCTTGTGCTCCCTCATTCTGCAAGGCCCTTTCCATCCTTTCTTACCAGGCTACCCTGACTCACCCTAGAAGATCCAGCTTGGAAGGTGTTTCCTCCAGGACACATCCCCTGATGTCCTGGCTGTGCTGATCGTCCTGAAGTCCCCACAGCTCCCAGCAGAAACCAGTCAAGTGCACTTCCTGTGTTCAAATTAATCTGTTCTTGTCTCACTACCCAACTAGGCTGTTTTTAAAAAGCCTGAGGACATGGACTGTCTTATTTACTTCTTTGCCCCAGAACCTCATACAATTTTGGCTCAAAAACTGTTTACCTGCACATAATTTGCTAAATTGAATTAAGAGAAAATGATCCTCTGTGAAAGTATATAATTGCATATATTCAACATAATACACATTTTAAGTCATTTATCTATAAATATTTATTAAAATACCATTTTTCAACTTCATACTTAAGAAATATCAAAACTTGTAAACACTCAACCAGATGAGCCAACGAAAAGGACTGATAACAGTGTGAAGACAGTTGAACAATTGGAACTCTCCTACATCGCCGCCAGTATTTACTAAAGTCAAACCTGCAAACACCCTGTGCCCCGGCACCTCCAGTCCTGGGTATATGCCCAACGGCAATGAGTAAGAATATTCTCAGCAGCATTACTCATAAGAGCCAGCCTCAGATTGGGACTAATTCCCACGTCCGGTAATACTAGAATGCTCGGATAAACTGGCATATTCAGACAGACGCTGCAGAGCAATGAAACAGAAGGAACTTCTAACGTGGCAACGAGGGCAGGGCTTTATGAAGTTCAAAGACAAGCTCAAGCAACCCCTGGGGACGAGATGTAAACAGTGGTTACGTTTGGAGGCGGTGGCTGGGGCCCGTGAAGAGGCACCCATGCGGCCGCCTCCTGCGGGAGCCGCAACGTTCCCTCCCTGACCTGGGCAGCCACCGCCCAGGAGAGCACGATGTCCAAGTCCAAGTTCACAAGTCCAAGTTCACACTTCAGAGCTGGCCCCTCAGGTGTGTGGGTCATGTTGCAACAAAGGTCAGAAAAAAGAAAACTTGTGAACTAAACTCTTGGAAAAAAGCCAACATGCTAGAGGTAACAGGCATGAGAAAGTAAACTTAGGATAAAAGGACCTTTGTCTCTTTGCTGTAACATGGAAAGGGATGTTTTCAAAAAGAATTATACTTTTTAAAATGTCCTTTTTATTATAACGGTTACAACTTTGGCTTAAGGTTCGTGATACTGTTTCCAGATAATGTTCCACTGTTAACATAAACTAGGCAACTCGGTGATGTTACTTAGGCCAGTTACTCAAGCACTTGACCCACTCATTTGGCTACATTGTGAGAAAACTGCTCAACTCTGGCTTACGGGATTGCAGGAGTAATAGTCTAAAATTTTTATTTCAAACTATATTCCTTCTGTACTTTAACCTAAAACCTGCTGCCACCTTTTTAGTGATGACAGAAAATAAAATTCTTTAAAATACAGAAAATGCATTTCCTCCTAAGATTAAAAAAAGAAACCAAAAAACCAAAAACGGTGAATACCCTAAAACAACTGATACACTTTGTCCTCCAGATTGTATTTTTGGTCGATGTGTCTTGACGTTCTGAATATTAACTTCAGTTCTGGGACTGAGTTTTAATATTAATAAATATTCAGTTTAGCCAAATACCTGGCAGGATTCCTCACTGAATATTTTGAGGGAAGTATATAAATAAAAAGATTAAATACCTTTAATCAAATACCTTTAAGAGCAAGAGAGAACAACAGTATCTAAAAATTATACATGTAAACACGCAGAATGAACTCTGGGCTACAGGATACGCAAGGCAAGAGTGGAAATATAGCCCTTTTCAACACAGAATATTTTCCACTACAATCTCATATATGTATATATCAAACAAAACTAGATCATTAACCTACAAATCTTAGTATTACTTTCACCGAACTTCCGGAGTGGCCGACCCCCTATTCGTGGGGTAATACAGGTGGCGTGTGACACCATTTGTTTTTCCAAGACTTTTTCAACTTTCGACTTCGATGCTATCCCCTGCGAGGCACAAGTCCAAGTGCTCATTAATCTGAGACTCCACAACCTCATTCTGACAGACGGGACAAACAACCATTCTGGCTGAGCTGCTGGGGTTCGGAGTCGCAGCTGTAGGATGGGGACTCCACTTTGGAGCATTTCCACCACTTTGTACTTGCTCTTTCTTGATAAAATAACTGTCAACAACAGTCTTGTCTTCTAGCCTGGGTCGTTTACTTGGGAATGTCTCTTCAGGCCCACTCACATCCTGGGGTGCAGTCACAGACGTTGATTGCGGTGCTTTTAAAGAATTTCTCAGGGGTTTCTTCGAAGAGGTGACCCTTCTTTGAGAACCAGAAGAGACTGAGTTTTTAGCGATGTCACCAGCTGCTAGGCTTTTCGTTGGAGATCCGTTCACACTTCGGAAGGCCTTCTGACTGGCAACTGAGACTCTAGGAAAGTAGTTGCTTAAGACATTTTGGTGACTGGTAGTGAGAACAGGGGACACTAGAGGAGTTTTTTTACTCGAACCATTCTGTTCCAATTTCACCTCAATTTTAGAATTAGGTCTGAGAGCTTTCGCTGAATGGTCTTGACTTAAAAGATCTTGGGTTTTATTAATAGCATATGGAGTGACAAACTTCCCAGATGAAGGCGAATTGCTCGTTTCTCCGAGAACATATCCTTTCCCGCTGAAAGGGATTAACAGTTGGGTCTCACCTCTGTTGAGTTTCTCTGCAAAAGAAGCAAAGGTTTTCTTGACTCAAAATTAATACAGCAACAAATGTTAAGCTAATGACCTATTAATGGGAGAAGGACGATCTGCAGCGGTCAGGGGGCTCTGGGATGGAGAGGACACAAAGGATAAAAAACATCTTCTCCCATTCAGATAAGGAGTTCTATCATCCAAACACTACCAGCAGAGGAACTTTTACCTTGAAAATCACTTAGCATTCTTTTTTTTTAAAGATTTTATTTATTTATTTATCTGACAGAGAGAGCGAGCGAGAGCAGGAACACAAGCAGGGGAAGAGGGGAAGGGAGAAGCACACTCCCTGCCGAGCAAGGAGCCCGACGTGGGGCTCGATCCCAGGACCCTGGGATCATGACCTGAGCCGAAGGCAGACGCTTAACTGACTGAGCCACCCAGGTGCCCTGAAAATCACTTAGCACTCTTGAAGTTTAGTTCCAGAGGGAGAAGTCTGCTCCCACATTCTTACCTTTTCTCCTACTCCCACAGAATGAGGACATATAATCTCTCCATGTAAATTCTTCTCTAGCTTCTCCACTCACTGAACATTTTGGATTTGGGAAGAGTAGCTTATTATGTTTCTGGATCCAACCAACAAATTCCCAAGGGAAGAAGCATTAACTTTAGTGACCTGGTTCCCTCTTCAAAAGGCAGTTACTCTGAACTTCATAGGAAAGGGATAAATCTTGAAGATGAAGTACCAGCACATACATGTCATATCCTTTTCCCATTCTTCTCCAATGGAAATACATACATCAACAGCAGAAGTCACTCGGCTAGAATCCAACTGATAGGAAGGGCTGGGGTCAGGACTAATTCCGGGCATTGTTATTTGCATTACTGTTTTTATTGTGACAATCATTTTGCCTTCTGTTTCCCAATGACTCATCACGTCAAGACAGGGAAAGGGACTTTACCCGCCAGTATCATCCGTGGAAACTATTTCTACTTTAACTCACATCTACCTCGAGCGGAGTACATTTTTCTACCATCACTTCATAAACGGGGATTTTTTTCCTAAGGCCACGCTTACAGGTACCTCTAGGAGAAAGAATCCTCCTCACGCCCGTCCTAGCAGCCGTGCTCCAGAGGCCAGCTCTGGCTTCACGTGGTGAGCCGCGGTCCCAGCCAAGGGGGAAGCAGGGACAGCAAGCTACCTTCATCTCCTGGGGCTGTTGGCGGCGTCCCCAGCACTGCCTTTCCTCTGCCCTTTCTGGAGTAGTTCTCTGGCTCCCTGACTTTGATGTAAGTGCCGCCGCAGGTCTTCTGGTGCTCGGCCCACCAGCAGTCGTGAGCAGAGGGCGCCCGGTTGGTGGCGCGCTTGACGTAGCCGTAGTAGGGCCTCCTGTCCCTGCACGGGCCGCTGCAACGCCACCAGTGTCGCCGGTACTCGTCCACCTCGTCGTGGAAAGTGTGGCACACCTGGGCGGGAGAGAGCGCTCAGCGTTAAGAAAACGGGTCGGCGGCCTTCCGCCGTTGGAACCCTCCGGTTTCTGAGGGCTCCCTGCGGTGGCGCTTCGGGCAGGACAGCCACTAGACTTGGCTTCCGTGCAAAAGCTCCTTTTAATGGGCTAGCAGCAGCTAACCCTTCATGAACTGTCTAAAGCCAGACAGATGGGAGCTTAGAAGACCAAAAAAAATTTTTAACCCATAAAAGCCCCTATCAATGCTAAAACCTTTAGAAACCAAATTTTAAAATAATCAAAAATTATGATAAAGACACAGTTTCATATAATGCCCAACTGTTTCCCCTGCTCAACTGATACTTTCCCCCACAGGTCACACTCCCAAGGGGTCCTGGACGATCTCCTATAAATGCCCCACTCCACCTACACAAGCCTCTTGCCTGATGCAGCCTCTGCGACACCCACTCCACATTCTCGAAGCTCTTTGCTCGTGTCTGTACTGAGCCTTACGGGGCATCATTTTATCTGCTTAAGGCGAAAAGCTCCCCAGATTTCAACTGTTTTCATCTCTGTGTCCCTAGCAGCTAATACAGGCTCCAGCACAGTGAAGGTGCTCAGTCAGTATTTGCTGCCCGACTTAATGAAAAGCTTCATTCATTGATTCAAAGAAAATTCTCTGCAAATGGGCTTTGCAGTCCTTACACAGGATCCTTTAGTTGCACCCTCTAGAAGAACCCTACTGACAGATGAAAGCGGTCTGGATGAGAGGAAAGTTAGCCCTCCCACCTTGGTGGCCCTGAGGATAGCAGGGCACCACTGAAAAACCGATAATCCTAAATAACTCCTCGTACCTTTTTCTTCTGTCTTCTCGTAGAACATTACTACTGTACAAGATAAGGAGCATCCATAGGTGAGATTTTTTTTTTTTTCTTTTTAACCAAAGACCTTTAACTTTCTAACAATTTCCCCAAGGGAAAGAATGTAAAGCCTTCTACAACTCTACAGCTAAGTTTTATACTGGCTCTCCATCCTAAGCAAAACACCTCTCTGACTTGCCAAGCATGCCAAGAGTACATGTTATGTTCGGTGCACAAGACCCTGGAGGGTGGGGGTTTGGGGACAAAGAGCTACGGAACACCTGCCTTCTCCCTTATGTTGAGAATTCTTCACTTAATTCACTGGCCAAACAGCCAGGGCACTGGATCTGTTTTGCTTCAAATTCCTGTAACTCCTACAGCCTGGGATGTGACTTCTTTAACGACGTCGTCACTAAAATAAAACTGTGCAACTGGATGCCCTGTGGAGTTTGTTATAACAGGATGTAACCTGTAAAAGCAAGGGGTGTCCACTCGGTAAAACCTCTCCTAAATGAAAACACACAGACGTGCAAGATAAAAGAATATATCCTCTTCCAACTGAACAATAGGAAGTATACCAGGACTTTGCTTAAAGTGAAAACGCTAATGAGGAAACTAAAAGCCTTTTGTACCAGCAACTCCACAATTCTTTTGTTAATGCAGGCCACTTTCTTATGTTGAAGTAACTCTGTTTGATAATACATGAGCTCTCTGGAAAATTAAAGCCAACAGCTAGAAAAAAATATACAGAAAGTGAGCACTTTCCATTTTCCACCACACTGGCCTTTACTGCCTTTTAAAGGCAGGAAATAATCTTTGCAGGAACGAATATTCTATTTAGTTCAATCCAATGCAATACCCATTAAGCCCTAGTGGGGGTGCTGCATCACACGTCTTATACAACGATGTGCAAAGCTAAGAGCTGCCCTGTGTGCAGAGGTGGGAAAGTAGAATAAAATATTGTAAAAGGTCAAAGAGCTGCTGAGGACATTCAAAGGGTCCTGGCCCGCCACAAAGACGCAGGGCATGTGACAGAGCACAGAGGAAGTGGCGCATGTGAGGGAGAGGATGTGTGAGGAGTGGCACGGGGGCTGCAAAGTTCCCTCAGAAGCCAGACAAGCTGGGGGCTGTGAGAGGCAGGAGAAAAGGAACAGTACGGTCACCTAATAAAATGAATCCGTGATAATAAAAACACCTAGTATTTTAACTTGTACTCAAACCGGGCTACAATGTTTTGTGTGTATTTTCTCCTTTAATCCTCAAGGACCCGCAGGTAAGTATCCTTACTGCCCTCACTGCCTCCTCCTGCGTGAGGCCCCACCGTTCGCCATCCGTGGAGCCAGCATCGGAACCCCGGCATCAGACTGCTGGGTTTTTTGACCCCAGGCTCTGCTTCCTACGGTATCACGCAGAAATATGAATCCAGGAAGACTTCTGGTGATGGCAACGACCCATGAAATGGCAGCACATTCAGGAACAATTGAAGGAGGAGACGATCACAAGGAAAGGAAGCTAAGGGACAGTTGTAATGACCCAGAGGTAGTGCAGGCCTGCAGCCACTTCTGCATCCAGTGTCGCCCTAGCTATGCTCAGAGGCCTTGGGGGACTGCGGTGAGGCCCAGCCCGAGACGAGCCAGTCAGCATCTCCTCGCCCGTCTTACCACTCACTGTGGAAAATCCTCAGAGACAGTATTTATTCCTACCTGTTGTCTATTTTTAGTTAAATCCCAAGGTTTACTGAATAAACTACTAAAAATCATAAACGTTATACTTGTTTAATATTTAGTAAACTAATTACTTAAATTAGTAAATGTTATATTTATTTATTATTTAAATCATATACCGTTATATTGGCTCCAGTCAGGCGATTGATGCGATGCATATGTTTACAAAACTCTGGGCCGTGCCCCTCCCGGTCTTTATCATTATTAGTGACAAATAAATAGGCATGTATCATTTCATGCAAGAGGGTCTGAAACAGAAAACAAATTAATTTGTTAGGGTGCTTTTGAAAATAAAAATGCATTTTCTTACTCTACCTGGGGGTCTTAACTTTGTTTGGATCACAGGCTCCTTTCAGAAACTGACAGAAGTCATGAACTGTCTTTCTAGAAAAATTACGTACACATACATTCACAAAACTTTGCATATATGCTCCAAAGCTCTGCAAATCCCAGGTTAAGAACTCTGTGTTCCAAGAAAAGCCTTTTTAACTCTTCATCAAAACCCAAAAGGAAAGATCAATGAACTCAACCACATAAAAACTTTAAAATTCTGGGGCGCCTGGGTGGCTCAGATGGTTAAGCGTCTGCCTTCGGCTCAGGTCATGATCTCAGGGTCCTGGGATCGAGTCCCGCATCGGGCTCCCTGCTCCTTGGGAGCCTGCTTCTCCCTCTGCCTCTCTCTCTCTGTCTCTAATGAATAAATAAATAAAATCTTTAAAAAAAAAAACTTCAAAATTCTGTGTGGGGGAGAAAACACAGTGACTGAAAAGACCAATTCAGAATGATATACGTGCAATGCATCTCTCAGGCTACTAATTCTTTTTTTTTTAAAGATTTTATTTATTTATTTGAGAGAGAGAGTGAGAGAGAGAAAGAGCACAAGAGGGGGGAGCGGGAGAGGGAGAAGCAGACTCCCTGCCGAGCAGGGAGCCCGATGCGGGACTCGATCCAGGGACTCCAGGATCATGACCTGAGCCGAAGGCAGTCGCTTAACCAACTGAGCCACCCGGGCGCCCTCAGGCTACTAATTCTTAAAACATGAAGAGCTACGGAAGTCAACACAAGATGACCAATAACCCAATTTTTCAGTGGGCCAAGGTCATAGATGGGTTCACAGAAAAAGAGATATAAAGTCTCTGTCAAAGCTATAGAAACCAAATTTTAAAATGATAAAAAATTAGGATAAAGCATAAACATGAAAAAAAATGTGCACTTCATTTATAAAAACAAATACAAACTAATGCTACACCAGTAGGCCACTCCTGCTTATCTAGAGTAGTAAAACTCCTGAAGTTTGACACAATTAGTAAAGCTAAGGAAAAAAACATTCCCATCTATCTCTGATGGGACTGAAAAATGGTACACACCCTCACAGAGGAGAATTTGGTAACATCTCACAAAATTACAAATGCATTTATCCTCTGACCCAGCAATCCCGAGACTAATAAGAAAGGTCATGTGTACCAGGTATTTTCATTGTGGCACTGTTTATAAGGTTAACACTGGAAGTAAGTGTTTAGCAATAGGGGCCTGGCTGAAGGAACTAGGGAAAATCCACATCACAGAATTCTATACAGACTTAAAGAATGAAAAAGATCTCTATGAAATCATTTGGAGAAACCTACAGGGTATACTGTTTAAATGGAAAGGACAAAGTACAGAAGAACGTACACAGTATTTTGTATAAGTATGTTAGGTGATTGGGAGAGGGAATAAGAATGGACATAAATATCTGCAAAACAGGGGCACCTGGGTGGCACAGCTGGTTAAGCATCTGACTCTTGGTTTCAGCTCAGGTCACGATCTCAGGGTTGTGAGACTAAGCCCCGTATCTGGCTCCACACTCAGCACAGAGTCTGCCTGAGGTCCTGTCTCCCTCTCCCTCACCCCTCCCGGAGGCTCATGTTCGCTCACTCTCTCAAATAAATAAATCTTTAAAAAAAATATTTGCAAAACAGAAAAATGAAACAAAAAAGAAACTAATAACAACAGTATCCTACAGTAGTCAGGAAGTTCAGCATAGAGAGGGATGGGGTAGGACAACATTTCTGTGTATATAGCTTTCTATAGTTTTGGGATTTTTGAATCATGTAAAATTTCGAAACAAACAAGAAAACCTACTGCTCTAGTGAATAGCATTTGATGGTAAATCCTGTGATTGGCCCAAATTTCATCTGAATTTACATAAATCTTCTTTGAATTAAAACAACAGCCTACTGCTCATTTCCACACCAAGGATGCAGAAGTGTAGGTGCAAAATTCACGAAAGTATTTAAGGCTGCTATTTAATAATGTATCCTAAAGAAATATGAATACATTTTTTTAAAAAGTGAAAGTCACAGGGCGCCTGGGTGGCTTCGTTGGTTAACCGTCTGCTTTCGGCTCAGGTCATGATCTCAGGGTCTTGGGATCGAGCCCTGTGTCCAGCTCTCTACTCAGCAGGGAGCCTGCTTCTCCCTCTCACTTGCCCTTTGTGCCCTCCCTCTCTCTCTTTCTCAAATAAATAAATAAAATCTTAAAAAATATATATGCTTAAAAAAAAGTGAAAGTCATAAAGGTCTTCAAGAGCAAACCTTGTTCATAATTTTTTTTACAAAGAATTTCCATCAGAAGAACTAGACTGCCATTAATGAACCACAGTCTTATCAAATTATGCTGAACAGAAAAATGGGTGAATCAAACATTTTAACTTGGTCATTACGAAAACATCCCTTTTAAAATTATCAACTCCGGGGGGCGCGTGGGCGGCTCAGTCGTTAGGCGTCTGCCTTCAGCTCAGGTCATGATCCCAGCGTCCTGGGATCAAGCCCCACATCCAGCTCCCTGCTCGGCAGGAAGCCTGCTTCTCCCTCTCCCCCTGCTTGTGTTCCCTCTCTCGCTGTGTCTCTCTCTGCCAAATAAATAAATAAAATATTTAAAAAAATAAAATAAAATCATATTATCAACTCCATCTCTGAAAATGAATTTAATCTCTTCAAGTAAATGCCACTTTTTTGGGACTCAAACTCAAAGGGCATTCTACATCTCAAATGTTTTCCAACATTCTGAAGTAATGATCAGTAACTATTCTTTTTTTTTTAAGATTTTATTTATTTATTTAAGACACACACACACACACACACACAGAGCACAAGCAGGGGGAGCTGCAGGCAGAGGGAGAGGGAAAAGAAGACTTCCTGCTGAGCAGGGAGCCTGATGCGAGGCCCGATCCCAGGACCCCGGGATCACGACCTGAGCTGAAGGCAGACGCTTAACCAACTGAGCCACCCAGGCGTCTTGATCAGTAACTATTCTTATAAAGGAGAAATAAATTTAGGTTCCTAATTTTGGATTCAATTTAAATACCTTGAAAATGGCACATGGCACCATACTAAACAATTTCTATTTTTATATATCTACCATTTTCCACACTTAGGCTAGATTCAAGGCTCTACTCAACACGGTCCCAAAACACCTCTACTTCCCACCACTGTTCTCTGGCCAAAAGGAACTACTTCTGGTCCTCAATACGCCCTAAGTTTCATGCCTCACTTTTGTTCACAGCATGCCCATTCCTTGTGCCAAGAGTAGTCTTCCTCTACCATCTCTACTTGTCAGAATCCAGTCTGTCCCATAAGGCTCACTTCCATGTTTTAATTAGCAGGAGTAACAATTATAAAGTGGTAGTAATGAGGCCAAATGGTACAGGGAATAGGACAAGAGCTTTAGAGCCAGGGAAACTAGAGCCTAAACCAAGGATTTGTTATTTATTATGCACAAGACCTTGGACAAGTTACAACGTGCTCCTCATCCCTAAAATGGGCATATCCTGATCTTGCAGGGCTATACACACTAGATTAACTACTAACTAGATTAACACTAATTAATCTAGTCCAAAATATGGCACACAATACATGCTCAATAAAGAGTGAGTGGTAGGAGTGGTGATGTCAGTAGTCACAAAATACATGTGCATGAAGCTTTTCTTCTTTGTCCTCAACCAAAGTCTTTTCCTTTTCTGAATCTTCTTCATTATAATTTAGGTCATACTCTATGTATAGACCAGAGTCACACTGTTCCTCCTTGGTCCTTCTTACCCCGATTTGATATTGTAACTTTCTGCCAACAGCAAATGCTCACTTGATAGCATTACCACACATTTCCCATTCTCTTCTCGCCCATTACCTTTAAAAAAAAATTGTTTGTGTGTTTAATCATTTACGTAATAAATATTCGTTAAGCAAATACTGTTCTAATTAGAGCTCCTCATAAGGTTGATTTGGTCAAAATTTTTTATGCTACTTTTTTTCCCTGCTAATTCATTGTGTTACCAAGAGACTTGTGTTAACATCTGCAACTATGATTGTGGATTTGCTTCTACTAATTTATGCTTCATGTAATTTAAAGTTACATTATTACTTTTAGGATCAAATCATGTTTTTATTTAATAGATTATTTTATCGTTCTAAAATGTTAACCTTTTTTTTTTTTTTATAAAACTTCTTCCCTTAAAATCTTTAGTCTGGGGGCGCCTGGGTGGCTCAGTCGTTAGGCGTCTGCCTTCGGCTCAGGTCATGATCCCAGGGTCCTGGGATCGAGCCCTGCATCGGGCTCCCTGCTCAGCGGGAAGCCTGCTTCTCCCTCTCCCACTCCCCCTGCTTGTGTTCCCTCTCTCGCTGTCTCTCTCTCTGTCAAATAAATAAAATCTTAAAAAAAAAAAAAAAAATCTTTAGTCTGATACAACAGTTTTCTGTTATTGTTTGGATGATAATACTTTTTTCCAACCTTCTACATTTAATGCATGTATGTCATTATCTTAAGCACATCTCTTTTCATCTAGTATGTCATTTCATGTCTTTAATTAGTGCTTAGTCCATTTACATTTAATATAATTACTGATATTGTGTTTATGCTTTTTTTTTTTTTGCAGGGTTTTGTTCCTTTATTCCTTTTTTTTATTATTTCTGCTGTACCATTTTACACTTAGTAACCATTTACTTTTTTTCTAATTATTGGTAAAAAGCATGTAACATACAATTTACCATCTTATCTATTTTTAAGTGTACAGTTCTGGAATATGAAGTATATTCACATTGTTCTGAAACCCATTACCTTTCGCTATCCTTAAAAACACCATCTTTCATATTTCCAAGCATGTTTTAACATATTTCCCATCTAATCTCTACCACCCTACCCTCTTTCATGCATACGTTTCAAGTGACATAACTGGGGCAAGACCAGTCACACTGGGTGCATCTTGGGGAATTTCAGGCATCTTCTAGACTCAACTAACCATAATCTGGGAGCTCCCACTGCTCCATTTTGCTAGTGAAGCGTGCCCTTGCCCACGCTGGTGGTTATACCAGCTCAGGTAGATATTCTGGGAGGGCGGCACCATGGTGGCTAAACTATCAAAATTTGTGTGCCTCAGTAGGAAGATATGGGTCCTAATTTTTTCTCTGCTCCTAAATATGTAACTTCAACCAGTTACTTACCCTCTCTGAACCTTAACATCCTCATTTATAAAAAGGAGGACAACACACATTGTACAAAAACAGGGTTGTTGTGAAGATCAAATTAGATAATATACCTGAAAGCCTTTAGCTGTGAAGAACTATAAAAATATAAGGTAATCATTAACAGTTGCCCTGCAGTTAAAGTTTGCAATGACAAAAAACAAGTTTTCTTTTTTTTTTTTACATTACAGGTTAACTCACAGCAGTCTAGATCAGTAATAAGCATTTTTAATTACTCAGCTAAGAATCAAGTTTATGCAAACAATACCTCTACGAGATCCTTTCTTGGTCTCAACTTTAAAAGAGGTTCACTGAGACGGATGGAACACATTCCACCCCTCCCTTCATAGCTGCATATCCCAGCACACCTGGAAAACAACCACCACAAAAGCATCATTCACCTAATATACACAAAAGAGAAATACAGATGAAAGAGTAAATCCTTATACATTCTTGGGCAGTTCACACTAGTGTACCTTCTTTGTTAGGAGATATTTGCATTTCACCCCAGTGAGAGAGATTCGTCAACAGTACTGCATCCCTTGCCCTAGCCAGGCAGGCTGCAGGAGTCCGAAGAGGACAATCCTGTTCTGCTGCTCCCAGCCTCCTCCCTACAAACTATAATCAGTTTGTGTTAACAGCCAGATCTCCATTAGCACATCTCTAAAACTGTAATCGAAGCCTTTATGAAGATTTGTTCTTTAAACACAGTTTCGTGTCATATCTTAATCTGTCTTACTTTAGGCTGTTTTGTATCCCTTCAAAAACAAGCACCGTGGCATACAACCCCATCTTAAACTCGTTAATTCCGTTCATGTGCAGGAACAAGTTATTTCAAACCGGGATTTCTCAACCTTAGTGTACATCCTTTTAGAGGCATCCCCGAAGATCCTTTGGGTCCAGAAATATGGAAACGTCAACCCCATGCCCCTTCTAACACCTGAGCTCACTAGTAAGTGGTGATATCTCAAGGAGCATAGAAGAGGACAACACACATCCTTGGGAGACTTCGCTGCCTCCTCGGCATTCTTTCTTAGGGGCTGACTGGTTGCTTCTCCCTCCTGGGTCAGAAATGTGTTAATTTTATTTTCAAATCAGAGGAGATCCAAAGACACATCCTTTTCTCTCACTGTGTCCTTTACAAATCAAACTGTTACCGGGACGGGACACACGGTTTCTTAAAGTTGCTCGAGCGGGAGAGAGACAGAGTAGGGAAGAGAGAGATACACCGAGAGGAGCTGCTGGTCCAAAACAAGACCCCCGCGTTTCACTCCTCCGGGCCCATCGGGGCGGAGAAAGAAGAGAAGCCCAGGGCCGGGGGCTGCAGGGAAGCTGCCAGCCGCCCTCGTTTCCCCAGCGGGGCTCGGGACTCACAGGGTCATTCGCATGCTCCACTTCACCTCGACGGCCTCCAGCTGGCCCCAGAAGAACCGATCGTTGAACTGCACAAACAGGGCCTGCAAATCCGGGGTTGGGTCCACCAACTCCCAGGACGCGTCCACCAGCGACAGGGGCGCCTGGGCCCGGTCGCGCTCCGAACCCTGCAAGTTCCACTCCTCCTGAAGCCGTAGTGCCAGCACCAGATCCTCATCCATTACGGCCGGGATCGCAGGCGGTGTCCGCCGGCGTTAAGCTGTCCCCACGTCTCCGAAGCTCCGAGGGCCTGGTAGAGCTCCTAGGAGATACCGGCTCTCGGGCTGCTCTCGGGCTGGTCTCGGGCTGCTCTCGGGCCGGCCCGCCGGTCTCGCGAGAACTCAGGAATAACCGGCTCTAGAACGAGAACTGAGTTTGCCCCAAACGCCGAAGCCAAGATTCTGGGGCTTAAAAAAGAGAATTCGGCATGACACCTCCTAGTGGGCTCAAAACATGGGTTCCCAGGGCTTGGACTCCAGGGAGGTTTCAGGAAACTGGTTACCGCCTTACGCTTCGCCGCAAACTTCAAGCACCAACGTCACGCTCAGCCCATGCGCAGTACCCACGTCCCTCTGCCTCGCCCTCCACTCGCTTCCGCAATAGCGCCCCCGGCGCATGAGCCCTAGGCGGCGGGCGTTCCTGCGCAGGCGCGGTGTCTGCGCCCGGCCCCTGCGCAGGCGCGGTGTCTGAAGCTCAGACCCGGGCGCAGGCGTACTCGTCTCTCTTCCATCCTGCTTCCTCAGCCCTGGAGCTCGGCGGGGCTTGGGTGGGTCTCGACAGCGGCGGCACCGGCGGCGGCGATAGTGACAGTGACTGCGTGAGTCTCGGACGGAAATGGCGATGGCGATGTCGGACAGTGGGGCGACCCGCCTGCGGCGGCAGCTGGAGTCAGGGGGCTTTGAGGCGCGGCTGTACGTGAAGCAGCTCTCGCAGCAGTCGGACGGGGACCGGGACCTGCAGGAGCACCGGCAGCGCATCCAGGCGCTGGCGGAGGAGACGGCGCAGAACCTGAAGCGCAACGTCTACCAGAACTACCGGCAGTTCATAGAGACGGCTCGCGAGATCTCCTACCTGGAGAGCGAGATGTATCAGCTCAGCCATCTGCTGACCGAGCAGAAGAGCAGCCTGGAGAGCATCCCGCTTACCCTGCTGCCGGCTGCCGCCGCCGCTGGCGCTGCTGCGGCCTCCGGAGGGGAGGAAGGGGGAGGTGGCGCGGGGGGCCGAGACCACCTGCGGGGCCAGACTGGCTTTTTTCCCACTCCCGGGGGTGCCTCCCGCGACAGTTCGGGCCAGGGCGAGGAAGGGAAGCAGCGCACTCTTACCACCCTGCTCGAGAAGGTGGAAGGCTGCAGGCATCTGCTGGAGACGCCAGGGCAGTACCTGGTGTACAACGGGGACCTGGTGGAATACGAGGCTGACCACATGGCCCAACTGCAGCGGGTGCACGGCTTTCTCATGAACGACTGTTTGCTGGTGGCCACCTGGCTGCCACAGCGGCGGGGGATGTATCGCTACAACGCCCTCTATCCCCTGGATGGTTTGGCCGTGGTCAATGTCAAGGACAACCCGCCCATGAAGGACATGTTCAAGCTGCTAATGTTTCCCGAGAGCCGTATTTTTCAGGCGGAAAATGCTAAAATCAAACGAGAGTGGCTGGAAGTGCTGGAGGAAACCAAGAGGGCCCTCAGTGAAAAAAGACGAAGGGAGCAGGAGGAGGCCGCGGCCCCTCGAGGACCGCCCCAGGTGACTTCCAAGGCCAGTAACCCATTTGAGGAGGAAGACGACGACGAACCAGCTATTCCTGAGGTAGAAGAAGAGAAGGTGGATCTCTCAATGGAATGGATCCAGGAGTTGCCTGAAGACCTGGATGTCTGTATTGCCCAGAGGGACTTTGAAGGAGCCGTTGACCTGCTGGATAAGTTGAACCATTACCTGGAGGATAAGCCCAGTCCACCTCCTGTAAAAGAACTAAGGGCCAAAGTGGATGAGCGGGTCCGGCAGCTCACCGAGGTGCTCATGTTTGAGCTCTCCCCAGATCGTTCCCTGAGAGGTGGTCCCAAGGCTACTCGAAGGGCAGTTTCTCAACTAATCCGGCTTGGCCAGTGCACAAAGGCTTGTGAGCTGTTTTTGAGAAACAGGGCAGCAGCTGTGCACACTGCAATTCGTCAGCTTCGCATTGAAGGCGCCACCTTACTCTACATTCATAAGCTGTGCCATGTCTTCTTCACCAGCCTTCTTGAGACTGCCCGGGAATTTGAGACGGATTTCGCAGGCACTGACAGTGGCTGCTACTCTGCCTTTGTGGTCTGGGCGAGGTCGGCCATGGGCATGTTCGTGGATGCTTTTAGCAAGCAGGTGTTTGATAGTAAGGAGAGCCTCTCTACCGCGGCTGAGTGTGTGAAAGTGGCAAAGGAGCATTGTCAGCAACTGGGTGACATCGGACTCGACCTCACCTTCATCATCCATGCCCTTCTGGTGAAAGACATCCAAGGAGCCTTGCACAGTTACAAAGAAATCATCATCGAAGCCACTAAGCATCGCAACTCTGAGGAGATGTGGAGGAGGATGAACTTGATGACCCCAGAGGCCCTGGGCAAGCTCAAAGAGGAGATGAAGACTTGTGGGGTCCGAAACTTTGAGCAGTACACCGGGGATGACTGCTGGGTGAACCTGAGTTACACCGTGGTTGCCTTCACCAAACAGACCATGGGCTTCTTGGAAGAAGCCCTGAAGCTGTATTTCCCAGAGCTGCACATGGTACTTTTGGAGAGCCTGGTGGAAATCATTTTGGTTGCCGTGCAGCATGTGGATTACAGCCTTCGGTGTGAGCAGGATCCAGAGAAAAAGGCTTTTATCAGACAGAATGCATCCTTTCTCTATGAGACCGTCCTCCCTGTGGTGGAGAAAAGATTTGAAGAAGGTGTGGGGAAACCCGCCAAGCAACTCCAGGACCTGAGGAATGCATCCAGACTTATTCGTGTGAACCCTGAAAGTACAACGTCAGTGGTCTGATGCCCATGGCGCTGTGTCTATGTATGCGTATATATTGCTTATATATTATTTATATTTATATTATGTTGCATTAGCATATTCTTTATAGTTTTAAACACAGCTTAAAAATAAAAGACGCCCTCTCAAATAGAAATGCAGAATCAAAAGGAAAAAGAAAAAAAAGTTAAAATTAAGCCCAAATAACAGAACATTGGAATTATTAAAACATACACTTTCCTTTTAAATTATGCTCTCTAATGAATATATTGTCACACTACAGCATTTCAGGGTATCCTTTTGGGTCAAAACACACTTTCTTCCAGTCTATATTATGCAGCCTGGAGAAATCGTATCTATAAATACGTAGAGTTTAAGTATGTTGTGAGGTTTCCCAGTTCACTAAAATGTTAGGTCCTCTTAAAGAGTACAGTGCCATACAAAATACCCTTCTTCATACACTTCCCCAACTTAAAATGTGATTGAACAATTTCGGGAAAAGAAAGGAACTGAGAACATCGGTTTTAGGGTAAATTTCGGTCAAAAGAATTCCTTCTGCCAGTGGCTAATTTGTGGACTCAAATACTTGGGTCCTTATAGAATACAAGGGGACGCTTTCATAAAAACAGCTCAGCAAACATTGCCATTGTAATTTGAGTGGCTAATAATTTTCACTGCTAATTAGCGGCTTTCTAATACTTGATTTGGGAGCATTTATATGAATCTTAAGGACTGTGGTAAGTTTTCTTTCCACATATTCCTGAACTGTGTGAATTCCCAGCCGCAGTTTTTGTCCTTATCATACTAAAAAAATTAAAATGATTAAAAGAAAACCACCCAAACAGGACAGACTGAGGAAGCTGGCAGCGGCCAGTGATTTTTAGCTGCCTTCCCCCACTTTCCCGATAAATTATATATAGTGGCTCAGACGGGAGAAAAGTTTTCATTGAAATATTTATTTAGATTTCAGGGAGGATCTAGGATGGGAAATCACATGCAAACCCTACAGTGTTCTCAAGTCTGACTGCTTTGGGCAGAGATTTGGTTTTGTTTTTTTGTAACAAAGTGGAGAACAAAAAGGCGAGACAATGTGCCCAAAGCCAAGGGATGAAAAGAACTTTGCTCACTCCCGACTCCTACTAAAATGCTACATCCTGCCTTTTTCTTGTTTTGTGTTTTCCTTTGTTCTTAAATATAATGCTTACTTCAGATTGTTCAGTAAAACAAAAATAGCTAAAGAAATTGGAGCTTCCCAAGATTTCTGAACTACTGCTTCTGTTGTACATGGATTACATGAGATTCCCCATCTTTGAGAGAAATTGTGCTAAGATCCATTTTTATCTCCAGCCTCTAGTTGTGATTCTTGTCCAAAAGTGCCATTTCTGATGCCGAGGACTTCCAAAGGTCATGTCTTTTATCTGAATTCAAATACTGGTATTAAGACTGGAAATTATGTAAAACCTAAAATGGCTTCCGAGAGTGGCTTAGGGTTTGTGAAGCTCCTTGACTCAGTTACTCACTGCCGGAGGAGCCCTTTTATTTATTTTTAGCTATGCATTTTAAAAGTTGAAAATTATCAAAGTTACAGATTTTCTTTGATTACTTTTTTCACATAAATTTAGGATTTTCTAGATAATAACCATAACTGGATATCTCAGCTGAGCAAAAACAGTTATAATTTGTCTTTTTTAAGATTACTGGAAACTTGAATTTGACAACAATGTTATGATTATTTTGTGCAACTTATGGTTTCTAAAATTATATTGTATAAAACACGTGTAAATATCTGATGCTGGGTCCATGGAATGATACTTCTGAAATCAAAACTTAAGGCATGAAGTTGTAAAAACTTAAGTGTGTGTACTCAGATATTTAAATGGTTGCTTCTTCATAGAACTGTGTGCTTTCTAAAACTGGAAGTACAGAATTTTCTTTGGGTAAAATTTGTGTGTTCCTTAAAGTTGTAGCTGAAGGAAGTCTGCTGGTGGTGATTCAGTTAGTGTGGGAAGTTGATCAAAGACCACCAGTATCATAATGTCTCTTCCCTCTAATTCTTGTTTCGTTAGACTCCAAAACAAGTCCTAAAAATTGAATGCAGTTAGAGTTTGTCCAAAAATATAGCACATATTGTAATATACCACTATAGAGTTGATTGCCTTTTCTTGTCTGCTTCAAACATAACACTGTCACTCGA